GGGTCTGCGGTTTGTACAACGGAACGAAGTTAGCTGACCTACGAATCAACGCCTGGTGGTATTGACACTGTCTTGCTAGCCGCCAAAGTCGGGGATTTAGCAATACTTGCTGGCAGCATAATTACCCAGCTAGGGCGCACTGAAGATACTTGAGGAGACGAACCAGAAATACAATTAATTATTATTGTTGTGGGGTAAAGCGACCTGAGGAACCAACGAAGCAGTTCCTCCTTCACAACAGATGCTAAAGTTTCCGCGATTACTCGAACTTATGTACTACATAAAACAGAGAACGGCTAAGTCAGTCTTAAATTTCTTGAACAAATTTACATTATCCACTGTATCTATTGTGCTTTATCTCTGCACAATTGTTTGGGTGTAATCGCATTCTCCATTTCAGTGCTTTATCCCAGCAAAGGTAGCCTGATGTAATCCGCATTTTTCATCATTGGGCTTTATCCTTAGCACAGGTACGTGAAGGGATTTGTATGCAGTACTGAAGTTACACCTCAGTAATACGGTGCAAACCCTCTGCAGGATGCAGTCATGTAAAAGTATGATCGCACCGATAGCTCATTGTGATTTGTACTTCTCGTTAGTGGTTGACGACAACATCGCTTTTGTGTACGTTATGTCCCCCACTGTGTACATTGTATAAACAACACAGCTGCAGTACTTGTATGCTGAAGTTTCTGTGATCTCAGTATTTTATCCACCTGCATTCTTTATCCTTGTGATCCTTATTTTCTACTTTAATTCTTCAGTCATCACAGGTAACCTGAACTAAGTGCCTGAACCACTCGCAAACATATTCATTTAAGAATCTAGATGCACTGACGCGGATTAAGAATCCAGATGCTCCACTTCGCCTGCGGCAATAATTAAGTATGCAAACTGAAGATGATGACGGTGATGATGATGATGGCAGTGGTCGATGACCTCGAACCAGCACACATCCTGATGATTTTTGCACAAAGCTTCCTCATCCGAGCGGCTGGCAGTGGCGCCAACGGTTGCCACCATGGTTTGCGCTAATGCTGAAATTGGCCTGTAATTGGTGCCCATAATCAGGCGGAGGGACCGGAAAACGGACGGACACACACACACACCCGACCAAAGATGCTATCCGTCCGGGAAACTTCGCACACCTCTTTGCAGTGACAATTAGCTCCATTCCTGCCACCAGCATCACTGGCAGACAACCGATCCTGGGTCACCTCAGCACCATTAGCGTTTGAGTGTTGGGAGTGTGTGGCTGTACTTACTTCTGCACAGTCTGTACCATTCGATGATTAGCCATTATCACGCAAGGCCTTATTTCTTAACTCCCTCAGGTCAGTTTTAGTGTCTCTGTCTATGTGGCCTAGAAAATCCATACAGATTTGTAGGAGCCCTTGAATTCTTCTTCTTGAATCTAATCCAAGGCGTTTTCGAATCTGTTTTAGGATTTCTCGCTAGATAATAAAGAAAAACCAGAAAACCGAGTGCATGTGTTTACTATGCTTCTCTTAGTGTGCCGGAGCAGATTTTAGGGTAAAAACAGATTGCTTGCTGTGCTTTCCCTTTTTTCGGATATCATTTACCGATACATACTTGATAAATTCATCGGTTAGCAAAATGAGCAGCATACTCTGTTCATTGGCCATTAGTTTACAGCCAAGGGATGAAACACAGACAGTATCCTAAAATGTCTTTTTGCACATGGTACTTGGACTGGTTCCTTAATTCCTAGTCTACTATACCTGCGTGGTTGCAACGATATTTGGCAAATCACTTATCTGATGAGTATATTTTTCCTTATTTCGAGTACATCAAGTCGTCGAAAGTGTGATTGTGAATCCCGTATTTTTAATGTTACTGGAATACTTTCACTATCCAAACGCAGTTTTGATAGTCTCCTGGTGGCTATTCGCTGCAAACGCATCAAATGTCTAACTTAGCAATCCCGTGACCTTATCATCGGCGTAATCAGCAAAAATGCAGTGACGTAAATCGTTGCCGCATACACGAGATTGTCACAAATGGAATCTCATGGAGATAGAATCATGTCTGTTTGCTGTGAATCATTTTGCTGCCACCGTCAATCACTTGGCCTGTTTCATTCAGGATATCAAGATGGAAGGCGCATGAATTGTGAAGCCAAGTCTGCTAGCTTCTGACAGGCAGAAAAAGCATAGCAACGCCGAATTTGAGTTCTCAAGCAAAATACATATTTACATGCAAAATAAATAATTAATACCAGATGCTAGTTAATTATTAGAACCCTTTTCTGTTTAGTTTACTTGTTCGGACAAACTTCTTCTTTTGGCATTTTTTATTTAATCCGTCGTTTCTTTCATTTTGATTACTAGTACACTTTACCTACGAATTTCTTTAAGCAAACGCAGAATAGATGTTCGATCAGGCAGTAAATGCAGCTGCTTTGAAAATTAAGCTGGATTGAGCTAGAATGATTTATTATTTCTTTTTTGTTATATTTGCAAAAATCCTGGCTCCCTCTACCAGCCCCTGGTAATCATCACTTCCTGGGTTATTTTTGCCTTGGATGGAACCCTTCGTTCACTGATGTCTAGAAGTGCAATTGTTTTCCTGTCTTTCGATTTAGCGGTAATAACAGTCTGGGTATTGTTCCTCTTTCAGTCGCACAGGGAGCTGTTCTTTCATTCGAATTCGAATTCTTTTCATATCGACTTCACTGCATTTTTATAATGCTTCTTTCTCAATATTAGTTATTTTGCTTATTAGAGAGTCCAGCTTCACCGGCGACCTTCGATTGCAGTTCATATACACTCCATCACAGAAGGAATCATAAATTCTCTGGAAATATTTCATGATCATGTACCGCATACCAACTGCTAATTCAGTCTACACTTTCCGACCTCATTTTTATTTTGTTAGCCTTTTTGGTTTCATATTTGATATAAGTACCATCCGAGACAAATTGCCCCGGAGATCCCATTAAACCATGTCAAGACATCAAACCTCTGAAGGTATATGTAGAATTTACTAGGCCAATAATTTTATCCTTCTCATGCATGCTTAATTAACAGCGTACTCACGGGACATGCGAACAAAAGGGGTTTGTGTGCGAAAATACGCTGAAAATGCTGTTTGGCTGATAAACATGCGGACTGGCTGGTGCTCTCGAAAGGCTGGACGTTTATGCTTTTCAAACTTGTGGACAGACAGGCAACGTGTGGACAGGTGCAAACATGCGGACAGACAGACAAACACGCCGGCAAACAACGTGTTCGCATTAGCCAACACGTGGATGAACGGGCAAGCAGACAGATGGATGAGCAAGCATAGTGCGGGAAAAGCAAGAAAGCTAACGGGCAGACGAAGGGAGCTGGCAAGTATGCTAATTTTACAGCATCATGTTGCACCAGTTGTCGTCATCGGCAGTCTGGGTATCGAAATTTCAAGACTACTTGCTGCTCAGTGGGTGGCAGTGTTCCGGTGCTGCTGCTACTGCTGGCCGGTGACTCATCCAGCCATCAATCCAGAATAGCTTCCACTCATTCCATCTTTCACCCTCCTCCTCCAAAACCTCAAATTCTATTGAAATTGCAAAGCTATTTCGTGTTACGAAACACAAAGCTCTAAAGTTCATTATACTTAACGGCACGAAAAATTAACAAAAATATTCGCTCCACTGTTTAACTAGCATGGTGCGCCAGGAATACGAATATCGCCCGAATAGTCGGTTTGAGTATCTCGTATCAGTGATGTTACTGAGATGTTCCTACACGCTAAGCGCAGCTACGCCAAGCCCTTTGCTTACGGGCTACACACCTCCAGTTAGCAAAACTCACTGCCTGTTCGATGTATGTGCGTCATCTCTTCGCAAACCACTCGTAAACGTTTATTTTCTCGCGGATACTGCTCAGTAAACTAGGAGTATCCCATGTATATGTATTATTTTTGGCCGCCTTGTAAACATGAGCTATTTTTTTTCTTATAGTATTTGACGGTCTTACTTTTAAAATCTTTTATTCTGGAATCAGTTCGATCTCTTTTGAATCATCTAACATCAAAATCATCACTCACTGTGATATACTCTATCATCTGACGAAAAAGTAAAAAAAAACCATAGTGCAAAACAAAGGAATTTTGTGTTTGATTGCATTTACTCGTTATAATAAGCCAACAGCAGCTTATTGCAAGAATTCCTAAAATGTGTTGGCTGCTACTTAGTTTCTTTTTTCGCGCAACACAAACAGCCCGGAATTTTACCGCAACAGCTCTCAGACAACTAGTTGATTGGTTTTCCTGGCAGCTGCCGTTTGCACTGTGTGCTGGCCCTTCGGTGCCAATGCAAGTATCGAATTTCATTTCAGTGTTAATTTTTCCGAACAACCGACCAAAATGTCTTTCTGTCTGTTTTACACACTTTTCATGCACTGCGAGTGTTTCAGTCGTCTCATTTCATCGATATTGAGTCCGCAATCTTTCTGAGATGTCAGCACAGGCCGAGCACACCTGTGCTGCTAAGCCATTTTTGTCCATGCAGACTTTGATACTCATATTCATGCACAGCTGAGGAATACTTGCTGCTCAAGAGGTACCACTTGATCGGCGACGTCCAACAGCTGTAGGTAAAGCAAATTGCATGCCCTTCCCCGAATTTTTCCTTCAAATTCATGGTAGCACCAATATCGTCGCACTGACGAGGTTCATCTATGGTAATGAATAGGAATATACTCGATTCAAAGGACCGAGGCATTTCTTTTCAGTTATTTTTTATATCTTTTATTTATTTGGCTTTTGACTATATCACACATTTTTCTCATTTTTTTATATAATATTCTTCTTTCATTACTTATCCTTTCAAACTGCTCTAATCTGCTGCTTTCCCTTTTACTAATTAAAAGATACCCTAAAGAGTTTTATTTGAGGCTTCTTTAAAAATCCGACTCCTTTTACACTCCGTCACTGCCTTCTTAAAGTTATAAGTCTATCTGAGTCAAAGGGCTTGTAGCTAGTGGTAAAT